TGTGCTGAAATTTTCAGAGGAGACCTTCATTGAACAGCAAGAAATCATGAGGTTGAGGACTTGCAGAGGTAGTAGCAAGCAGGAGACAATAGAATAGTAAGCAATGTGTGACAAACAGAGGTACATGGATTTTCTATATGCACAAATAGATGGAGCTAAACAAATTTTGCAACCTCTTAAGCAATTGTTGGGTGAAGCATAGGAAAAATGGTGGGAGATAGCAGGGTAAATAACATATATTCCATAGGCTCGTCGTGAGAATTATACTCCAACAATCATGGCAATGTTATGAAGAATTTAGTACAGAAGTATGAATGTGGTCTCCTATAAAATTGTTACTAAATAGGGATGCTGTACAAGACACTAAAGCAGGAAGAAAACAATTTGTTGCATTGAAGAAACCTCTTCATGATGTGATCTTTATAGGACATACATACTGCACATAAATAAAAATCCAAACCCAGTATTTTCAGGGATGGCATGAACATATTCAGGGTTTTTGTATTTTAACTTGAGATTGATTTAGTTCAAACAAAATAAATAGCTTCTACGCCATATTGTTGTAAATTCATTATCAATCAATAAAGCTAAACTAAAGGGGGGCAAGAGAACCAGGGATAATTTATAAACAATGTGCAACAGTAAACCATACATGGAATGTGCTATTTACAAAGTAATTTGACTATGTTGTCTTTAGCTAGAAAAAAACAGAGGAATAGTAAAACTGGGCATAGGAGAGCTACCTAGGCATGTCTCTGAAGCTGGTTGTACCTATAGCATACCTTTGGCAAGAAATTACTTGAGGGCACATGTCGCTGCTAACTCTGTCTTCCAGGCCATTTTCACATCCTTGCAGCCCCACTCCCATACCATTACATATCTCAACGGTAATTGGTGTATGACATGACCACAAAAACCTAAATCAACATCACCCAGAAGAATCATTATTGGAACGAATAGGAAAAGAAGCACAAAGTGATCATCACCACCTTGGCCCTTGGGGAAGCAATTTTAACATTATTACCTTTCATTGACATGTTTGAAACAACAACTAATCTGCATGTGCCTAGTAAATCTTAAAACAGAGGAAGGATACAACACATGATAGAAGTGAACCCAAATGGTCAAATACTTCAGATTCTGACACACAAGGGAGAATACCAGTCTGCATCTTACTCAATTGCAAGCCAAAATCAATAGGCAAAGTAACAGAATATGGGACAAGTGTGACCTGAAGAACTAAATCCCATATATGTTCCTCTAAATCCCGTATCATAGAACCATATACTGTCCTAAATCAAGTAACAGAATTATAATCTACCCAACACATTTATAGGGAAAGTATCACCACTATAAGCATTCAAACTAATCATCACGTGGTAAATAAAGACTACACAGAACTAAAAGGAAGAGAAAAATATAAGTAAAAATATATTATGATCTCTGTTAGCTTTCGTTATCTTTATCGAGCACCTAAAAGAGAATCTGCATGATAAATAGGACACACCCTAGCATACTGAATATTACAATCGTTTGTCAATACATGCCACTGTAAAGCCAAATAAGCTGGCACACCTCTAACTTCTTCTGTGCCTCTCAGACTCAAAACCTTTGTAGGAAACATACATCTTCCCTAGAACTTTTAGTTATTGGAATCGAAATGCCTGTAGGAATCGCTGGTGCTACCAAGCACCAGTCCCACGTCTGGCCTCTGCACGAGACAAAACCCATGAGCAACCCTTCAAACTATAACATCATGAAAGGAAAGTGGTGCATCAGCTAACACCAACCTTTCCTTCTTTTCACATATGGTAGGGACCCTAGTATGTTTACAGCAACCAAACCAGAAGCTTGCACTGGCTAGCTCTATGTATCCCTGTGTCATCGAGATCAACATGGCTGTTTTAAATAGCACACCAAAAGTAATTCTAACATGAAAATGAAAATAATAAATATCCTATAAATGAGAACGGTACGCTTGTTATTTCACATACATGTGCTAAAAAAGTTGTTCTAAGACACGTGACCAAACCAAACGTTTATAAGTTGATAAGTAGCACCTGCAGTGGCCAGGAACATTTAAATATATTACCGTATGAAGGGAAGACACATGAATACATCAGATGCGGCTGTGTTCTTCATAAGCAATGCACACATCAATAATGTACGAACCTAGGCATGAGCAATCACCTCAAAAATCACAGCGAAGAACCAATTTGATTTCAAAAAACACATTACAAATAAGCATCTCAAACAATTAACTTCAGAGCATCTTCTAAAAAAGTGTAGAAGTATCCATCTACATTACTCGTCTATTTAGATTGACCATGCTGAATATAAACTTGTTTCCAGCAGTTGCTAACAATGCAGTTACCTATATCTTGGCCAAAAAATCAATAATATATATCCATGACGACATAAATCCGGTGCTAGAGAAATTAGTTATTTCAGAGCATAAAAATTCAATCGGAACCATTTAAATAGCAGGGCTATATATTAATATGAAAATGGATCCCACCTATGGATGTCATCTGATGCCAAGAATGAGAGGAAACTAACTAAGCCTGAATGTCACCCATATTGAAAATACCCATACTATGATTGGGAGGCCAATTAAACATTATACATCGCATAATGTACTATTTATGTTAGTATGTACAATAAATTCTTTGCCAACTGCATACATTTTGTTTAGAAAGTACTCATATGCACATTGGCTTGTTCTTGTCGCTTCCCAACTTAAGGATTAAGAAAGGACAAGAAGATCCATGCCAGGAGGCACATACTTGGTGGAGAGGCAGTGGATGAAGATGTAGGCGCTGTGGTGAAAGCGGCCATGGCGTCCTTGTCCACCACACCTCTGCCCTCCTCCTTGACCTATGCCGGCCATGGCCTTGGGGAGCTCCTCCACCTCCACCTCCATCATCGCTGCCGCCGGCGCAGGCTTCGCCTTGGGCCCCGCGGTAGGCTGCAGCTCATTCGTCTTCCCTGCCATAGATTCCCGCGCTACTGTTGGTGTTGTCTGGTGAGGCGAGGCGCGCGGTCGAAATCGTGCGTGGAGAGTACAGAGGCGTCGTCGAGGAAGAAGAGAGTAAGAGGAGGCGACACACCGTACAGATGCCCACCGCAACTCACCCCGACGGCTCGACCGCCTTTGCTGCGCCGCCGACGACATAGGAGGAAGCCAGGTGGACGAGCGTGCGTGGGGCGGAGGAGCAGCGATGGGGTCGTCGGTGCTCACCCCGACCCCTTGGGATCTAGGAGAAGGGCCTGGGCTGGGCGACATGGGGCGGCGGCGGCTGGGAGAAGGGGCGGCGGCGGCGGCGGCGCTGGGAGAGGAGGCGGCGCACTGGGCTGGGCGACGTGGCGATGGCGGCGGCGGCTCGAGGGAGGAAACAGAAAAGAGAGAGAGAGGAGGGAGTCGCTGGCGGGAGATTAGATGATTTACCCCACTTTACAAGGGCTTAGATGATTTGCCTCAGGGTTGTCTTGGACCCGGCCCCACCCGGCAGCCTCTAGGGAGGCAAATTATGTAAGTGGGAAGTAAAGTGGGGCAAAAGATCTAATTTTCCAGTCGCGGGCTCCTTTTAGGTTTTCACTGCTCGGGTGGAACTTTTTCTACGAATCTCTACTACGAATCTCTTCTCTACTACTAATAAAAGAGCAAACATTAACTTTTCTTCACGCACCTCGTTAAACGTATACAGACCTATTACCACCCTACGATTAGGCACACTAAAATCAATCTAATGGTCAACCTTAACCTCATGTGTTGTTTGGGGTGCATCTTCTCTACTATCTCTACTACTAATAAAAGAGCAAACATTAACTTTCCTTCACGCACCCCGTTAAATGTACACAGACCTATTATCACCCTACGATTAGGCACACTAAAATCAATCTAATGGTCAACCTTAACCTCATGTGTTGTTTGGGGTGCATCTTCTCTATTACTAATAAAAGAGCAAACATTAACTTCCCTTCACGCACCCCGTTAAACGTACACAGACCTATTACCACCCTACGATTAGGCACACTAAAATCAATCTAATGGTCAACCTTAACCTCATGTGTTGTTTGGGGTGCACTTAATAATTTACACACGGACGGACCGTTCCACCGCAGAGGAAATCAAATCACCTCCACGTCCCTCCCAGTCATCAATCACACGCAAGGAAACAAATAACTTCCCGTCGCTGCACCATACCATGGTGGGAGGGAACACCTGAAATCACGCATCAGCAGGAAGGAAACAAAACAATATCTCATCGCTACATCGTAGCACCGTCGCCCCGACCTCGCGGCCCAGCAGATCCCCTCGCCCTGGGGCAGCATCGTCTGCTTCCGGAACGACGCCCTCGCCGCCCTGCACCGCACCCTGGGCAGTCGTTCCTCCGTCGCCTCCTCGCTATCGGCAAGTCCCTGAACCTACCTCAGATGAAGACCTAAGGTGAGCAGAATTTGTAATACAGTCAATCTACTAACCGCACCATCCTGCTTGACATCAATAAAAACAAAGAATCTTCAGCCTGTATCCTGCATAAACATAGCAAGCATGTTTATTCTTAATAATACTGTGTGTACATGAATGCTATTTGCCACTAATGGTAACAGGGATCAGATCTGCAATTTGATTCTAACTAATATGCTTTAATTCAACCCTCTTGGCAGATTCTACTAATACGCGCGATATGTCATCTCCGAATCGTGCGGGGGCACGCACCCCATTTCAGGATATAACCAACTCCCGCTTCGTGGGTAATTAACAGCCTACTAAGCGCTACAGTTTTTCTTGAATGATGAACACTGTTATTGCTTATGCGCTAACTTTCTATTTCTATTTATAAGACCCTAAGGAACTGAAGAGGCAGCGGGACAGAGAATACTATGCACGAAATAAAGATGCCATTCTCAAACGGCGTCGTGATGCACGCCAAAATAACGAGACTCCAAAAGCGCTGCCTAATGACCAGCAAAGTGTGCCACATACACCCCTGGCCATGACCCAAAGTAAAAATAACATTGTACTGTTGGCTTATGTTAACATTTTGAGACTCTGAATTATAACTATAATGTATCATAGATGTAGATCCTATGGAGCAAAAGAGGCAACTGGAAAGGGAACGGTATTCACAAAATAGGGATGACATATTAAAGAGACAACGTCAAGCCTACAGTCAGAAAAAATTGTCTCATGCTTCTGCAGGGACCGGTGCCCAGAAAGATGAAACACAAACACCGATGTCCACATCCATTGGTAATGACGATCAACACTTTACATACACCCCTAATTGTTGAAGCTAATTAGCTTTTTGCATCTATGTAGACCCTAAAGAGTTAAGGAGGCAAAGGGACAGGGAGAGGTATGCACAGAACAGGGATGAAATATTAAGAAGAAAACGCCAATCCCGTGAACAGGCAAAGACATCTATTGCCACTGTCAACAACGTTGACAATGTGTCACGCACACCAGCTACAGGACAATCGGGTGTCAGCCAGCTACAAACAATATCATTTGCAGGTTCTGTGGTACCATAAAATAGTCATTGCCTTTTATTATGTCGCATATTATTAAGATATACTCCCTCTGTCTCAACATAAGTGTCTCAACTTAAGAACAACTTTCTACTAAAATTAGTATAAAGTTGAGACACTTATTTTAGGACGGAGGGAGTATATAATTATATGCACTGATGTGGTGACACCAAATTTCTTGCAGGTTTATCAAACATGTCAACTTCATCCCAATCACATGAAGGCATCCCTCCTGACGAGGACAATATTTTAGGAAACATTGATGAATCCAATTGGTTGCATAGGAATGATGCATATCAGATGGTAGAAATTGCAGGGAGACTGAGAGCTGTTGTTGTACCTCTTGTTCATAAAACGCAAACAATTTCCAATGTCACTGCAGATATTGCACCAGGTATATCATTAGGCGTTTGTAAAGTGTAAGGAACAATATTACTATAATCAACCTCAATATTATTTATAGTGCAAGCGTGTTTACCGTAATCTGGGTTCTCTTTCATTTTTTATGTATAGAGCCTCTTAATGCCTCCAATCAATCTCAAAAGTCCCTGGCCAATGATAGGCCTGGAGTAGAACCAACAACAGAGACTGCTCAAAACACTCAAAATCTGCAAGGCAGTTTTGCCGACCCTACGTCTACTAGAACACCTACATTGTTATGTTGTATTGATCTTATGATTTTCCATAGTGGGCAACGACCAGACAGCTGATCCATATGGAATATTTGAGCCTCCTGTTCAACAAACCAATTTCCAAGGTACATTATATATATTGACGTTCCCATTTGAATGTCTTCATCCATAAATTTGAGGAATTTATATTTGACCAACATATTGCGTAATAGATTACATGGAGCCACTGCATAATGGAGAAGCCGCATACCATGATCCTGATGAAGAAGCTAGAATATTTATGGATCAGGGTATGTCCATTATCTATTTTCCAACTTAGCACCCTCACATGCACACTTTAGTTGTATTGAGTGATAATTTAATACCTACTGTTCTTCTGTGCTAGATGTTGCTTTTGAGTCGTACCACCTTGGACACCAGAATGCACAAGCAGGAACCGTAGCTAATTTTGATAAGTTCATATACCGAAACCTACCTACAAAGCACCATGTCCTAAAAAAGGTTCCTGACTGCCTTCACTGTGGGGCTTTGCGGTTTCCATTCGAGGGGCCAGCATTTTGTTGCAGAAAAGGAAAAGTATGTATATTTACTCCAGAGGTTCCAGAAGAGTTGAAACGGTTGTTTACATGTCAAACTGATGAGGATGCTAAATATTTCAGAGAGCATATACGATATTTCAACTCGCACTTCTCATTCACAAGTTTAGGAGTCACCCTTGATCGCCGAGTCAGCAATGCGGCAGGAACTGGAGTATATACTTTTCGTGCGTGTGGCAGGTTGTACCACGCTCTTGATGATCTGGTGCTGGCTGATAATGGCCCTCGACATTTCCAACTCTATATTTATGATACAGATGAAAACTTGGTTCACAGGGCTAAGAGATCTCCAGACCTTAAGATAGACCTCATACGGAAGATTCTGCAAATACTACAGCCTAACCCTTATGCGCAAGTTTTCAAGAGCCTTGGGTCTGTTCCAAATCTAGATGAGTATAGGATCTCACTAAACACGAATATCATGCTCGATCAACGAAGGTACAATACAATGCCCCAACAACTTCTCAGGTGGCAGCGATATGGGTTGAAGGGAGCGACCCACAAAATTGCTTTGACAGGAGTGTTGTCGTGCATGGAAAAAAGGAGAACAGCCCCTATATATTAGAGCATACTATGGGTGCTATGACCCGTTGTCTTATCCCCTATTCTTCCCACGTGGAGAGATTGGTTGGAATCGTTGGATGCCATATGTTGGTCCCCACGATGACAGGACCGAACATTCATCAGATAATTCTACACCACAAGGAAACCAAGACATTGATATACATATAGGTATGTGTTCATTAACAAGGGTTAGGCTTGCTATTTATTAATGTGAACTTATGTTTTCATCTATGTATCAGAGGAAAGCTTGATTAGAGAAAGCGAACAAGTTGGGAATTTTGTAGCACATGAAGACCATGCCACTGATTTACCTGCAGGTATCAGTCATCATTTCTTATTGTTCAATTCTTATTGTGTCAATCAGCCAGCACACTGATACTTATGTTGTCAATCTTCTAGATGACAACGAGGATAACCCAGATGAGGATTTTGGTGACAATGAGGTGAATGCAAAACAATGTAGGAAATTTGTTAGTGCAAGGGAGTACTACTGCTTCAAGCTGCAGGTCAGGAAGAAACTTTTAAACATCATCTTGTTCGGGGGGCTCCTTTTCCAACAGTGGGTTGTTGACATGTATATCAAGATTGAGTCTATGAGGCTTGTGTTGGGGAACGTAGCAGAAATTCAAAATTTTCTACGCATCACCAAGATCAATCTATGGAGTAATCTAGCAATGAGGGAAAGGGGAGTGCATCTACATACCCTTGTAGATTGCTAAGCGGAAGCGTTCAAGTGAACGGGGTTGATGGAGTCGTACTCGTCGTGATCCAAATCACCGATGATCCTAGTGACGAACGGACGGCACCTCCGCGTTCAACACACATGCAGGCCGGTGACGTCTCCCATGACTTGATCCAGCAACGAGAGAGGGAGAGGTTGGGGAAGACTCCGTCCAGCAGCAGCACGACGACGTGGTGGTGGTGGAGGAGCGTGGCAATCCTGCAGGGCTTCGCCAAGCACCGCGGGAGAGGAGGAGGGGGAGGGCTGCGCCAGAACTTGGGTGCGGCTGCCCTCCCACCCCTCCATTATTTATAGGTGGGTGGAAGAGGGGTCCGGCCCCCTAGATCTCATCTAGGGTTGGGGCGACGGCCAAGGGGGGAGGAGTGCCTCCCAAGTCAAGTGGAGGCCCTCCCCTTAGGGTTTCCCCTCTCCCATGTGCATGGGCCTAGGGGGGCTAGTGCCCCTAGCTCATTAAGGCTAGGGCGCCCCCCTACACCCATGCTGCTGTATTGGACGTGGTGGAACAATTTCCGGACCTCCGGACCCCTCCGGAATCCTCCGGAACCTTCTGGAAGCTTCCTGGTACAATACCGGAAAAACCCAAACTTTTTCCGGAACCCGAACAACAACCTTCCATATATAAATCTTTACCTCCGGACCATTCCGGAACTCCTCGTGACGTCCCGGATCTCATCCGGGACTCCGAACAACATTCGGTAACCACATACATCTATTCCCTATAACCCTAGCGTCATCGAACCTTAAGTGTGTAGACCCTACAGGTTCGGGAACCATGCAGACATGGCCGAGACTTTCTCCGGTCAATAACCAACAACGGGATCTGGATACCCATGTTGGCTCCCACATGTTCCACGATGATCTCATCGGATGAACCACGATGTCAAGGACTCAATCAATCCCGTATACAATTCCCTTTGTCTAGCGGTATATTACTTGCCCGAGATTTGATCGTCGGTATGTCGATACCTTGTTCAATCTCATTACCGCCAAGTCTCTTTACTCGTTCCGTAACACATCATCCCGTGATCAACCCCTTGGTCACATTGTGCACATTATGATGATGTCCTACCGAGTGGGCCCAGAGATACCTCTCCGTCACGCGGAGTGACAAATCCTAGTCTCGATTCGTGCCAACCCAACAGACACTTTCGGAGATACCCGTAGTGCACCTTTATAGCCACCCAGTTACGTTGTGACGTTTGGTACACCCAAAGCATTCCTACGGTATCCGGGAGTTGCACAATCTCATGGTCTAAGGAAATGATACTTGACATTAGAAAAGCTTTAGCATATGAACTACACGATCTTTGTGCTAGGCTTAGAATTGGGTCTTGTCCATCACATCATTCTCCTAATGATGTGATCCCATTAACAACGACATCCAATGTCCATGGTCAGGAAACCGCAACCATCTATTGATCAACGAGCTAGTCAACTAGAGGCTTACTAGGGACATGGTGTTGTCTATGTACCCACACATGTATCTGAGTTTCCTATCAATACAATTATAGCATGGATAATAAACGATTATCATGAACAAGGAAATATAATAATAACTTATTTATTATTGCCTCTAGGGCATATTTCCAACAGTCTCCCACTTGCACTAGAGTCAATAATCTAGTTCACATCGCCATCTGATTAACACTCACAGGTCACATCGCCATGTGACTAACATCCAAAGAGTTTACTAGTGTCACTAAACTAGTTCACATCATCATGTGATTAAGACTCAATGAGTTCTGGGGTTTGATCATGTTTTGCTTGTAAGAGAGGTTTTAGTCAACGGGTCTGCAACATTCAGATCCGTATGTACTTCGCAAATCTCTAGGTCATATTGTAAATGCTGCTTCCACGCTCCACTTGGAGCTATTCCAAATGGTCGCTCCACTATACGTATCCGGTTTGCTACTCAGAGTCATTCAGATAGGTGTTAAAGCTTGCATCGATGCAACTCTTTACGTCGAACTCTTTATCACCTCCATAACCGAGAAACATATCCTTATTCCTCTAAGGATAATTTTGACCGCTATCTAGTGATCCACTCCTTGATCACCTTTGTACCCTCTTGCCAGATATGTAGCAAAGCACACATCATGTGCGGTACACAACATAGCATATTGTAGAGCCTACGTCTAAAGCATAGGGGACGACCTTCGTCCTTTCTCTCTTTTCTGCCGTGGTCGAGCTTTAAGTCTTAACTTCATACCTTACATCTCAGGCAAGAACTCCTTCTTTGACTGGTCCATCTTTAACACCTTCAAGATCATGTCAAGGTATATGCTCATTTGAAAGTACCATTAAGCGTTTTTGATCTATCCCTATAGATCTTGATGCTCAATGTTCAAGTAGCTTAATCCAGGTTTTCTATTGAAAAACACCTTTCAAATAACCCTATATGCTTTCCAGAAATTCTACATCATTTCTGATCAACAATATGTCAACAACATATACTTATCAGAAATGTTGTAGTGCTCCCACTCACTTTATTGTAAATACAAGTTTCTAACAAACTTTGTATAAACCCAAAAACTTTGATCATCTCATCAAAGTGTATATTCTGACTCCGAGATGCTTGCTCTAGTCCATGTAAGGATCGCTGGAGCTAGCATACCTTTAGCATCCTTAGGATCGACAAAACCTTTCTGATTGTATCACATACAACCTTTCCTTGCGAAAACTAGTAAGGAAACTCGTTTTTGACATCCATCTGCCAGATTTCATAAATGCAGCTAATGCTAACATGATTCCGATGGACTTAAGCATCGCTACGGATGAGAAAATTGTTGGGGAACGTTGCAGAAAACAAAAAAATTCCTACTCGTTTCACCAAGATCATCTAGGAGTTCATCTAGCAACGAGTGATTAGATGCATCTACATACCTTTGTAGATCGCGAGCGGAAGCGTTCAAAAGAACGGTGATGATGTAGTCGTACTCGACGTGATTCAAATCACCGATGACCAGCGCCGAACGGACGGCACCTCCGCGTTCAACACACGTACGGGACGGGAGACGTCTCCTCCTTCTTGATCCAGCAAGGGGGGAGGAGAGGTTGATGAAGATCCAGCAGCACGACGGCGTGGTGGTGGATGCAGGGCGTCACAGCAGCAGGGCTTCGCCGAGACTACGAGGGAGAGACGTAACGGGGGGAGATGGAGGCGCCAGGGGCTGGTGTATGAAGTCCCTCCTCTCCCCCACTATATATAGGGGTGCCAAGGGGGGGGTGCGCAGCCTAGGAGATCCAATCTCCTAGGTGCGGCGGCCAGGGGAGGGTTTCCCTCCCCCCCAAGGCACCTCGGGGTGCCTTCCACCACTTGGACTCCTCCGTGGTGAAAACCCTAGGCGCATGGGCCTAGTAGGGCTGGTGCCCTTGGCCCATATAGGCCAAGGCGCACCCCCTACAGCCCATGAGGCCCCCCGGGACAGGTGGCCCCACCCGGTGGACCCCCGGTACCCTTCCGGTGGTCCCGGTACAATACCGATAACCCCGAAACTTGTCCCGATGCCCGAAATAGCACTTCCTATATATAATTCTTTACCTCCGGACCATTCCGGAACTCCTCGTGATGTTCGGGATCTCATCCGGGACTCCGAACAACATTCGGGTTTCTGCATATACATATCTTCATAACCCTAGCATCACCGAACCTTAAGTGTGTAGACCCTACGGGTTCGGGAGACAAGCAGACATGACCGAGATGACTCTCCGGTCAATAACCAACAGCGGGATCTGGATACCCATGTTGGCTCCCACATGCTCCACGATGATCTCATCGGATGAACCACGATGTCGAGGATTTAATCAATCCCGTACGCTATTCCCTTTGTCTATCGATATGTTACTTGCCCGAGATTCGATCGTCGGTATCCCAATACCTCGTTCAATCTCGTTACCGGCAAGTCACTTTACTCGTACCGTAATGCATGATCCCGTGACCAGACACTTGGTCACTTTGAGCTCATTATGATGATGCATTACCGAGTGGGCCCAATGATACCTCTCCGTCATACGGAGTGACAAATCCCAGTCTTGATCCATGTCACCCAACAGACACTTTCGGAGATACCCGTAGTCTACCTTTATAGTCACCCAGTTACGTTGTGACGTTTGGCATACCCAAAGCACTCCTACGGTATCCGGGAGTTACACGATCTCATGGTCTAAGGAAAAGATACTTGACATTGGAAAACTCTAGCAAATGAACTATACGATCTTGTGCTATGTTTAGGATTGGGTCTTGTCCATCACATCATTCTCCTAATGATGTGATCTCGTTATCAATGACATCCAGTGTCCATAGTCAGGAAACCATGACTATCTGTTGATCAACGAGCTAGTCAACTAGAGGCTCACTAGGAACATGTTGGTGTCTGTTATTCACACATGTATTACGATTTCCGGATAACACAATTATAGCATGAATAAAGACAATTATCATGAACAAGGAAATATAATAATAATGCTTTTATTATTGCCTCTAGGGCATATTTCCAACAGTCTCCCACTTGCACTAGAGTCAATAATCTAGTTACATTGTGATGAATCGAACACCCATGGAATTCTGGTGTTGATCATGTTTTGCTCTAGGGAGAGGTTTAGTCAACGGATCTGCTACATTCAGGTCCGTATGTACTTTACAAATCTCTATGTCTCCATCTTGAACATTTTCACGAATGGAGTTGAAGCGACGCTTGATGTGCCTTGTCTTCTTGTGAAACCTGGGCTCCTTGGCAAGTGCAATAGCTCCAGTGTTGTCACAGAAGAGCTTGATCGGCCCCGACGCATTGGGTATGACTCCTAGGTCGGTGATGAACTCCTTCACCCAT